TTATGGCTCACATTTTGTTTCATAAGATTTGCAGTTTTCAACTCTCTTACAGGAATCATGTTGTGAAAATATAAAAAGGTAATAAGGGTAAGAAAAACGGGTTCTTTATTACCCTCAAGAAACCCACTATCAGGGCCAGGGAGATAGCTCAGGAGAATGTGTTTGCCTGGCAAGCGCAAGGTTGTGAGTTCAATTCACAGTACAGAAAGAAAGAAGAAAGAAAGAAAGAAAGAAAGAAAGAAAGAAAGAAAGAAAGAAAGAAAGAAAGAAAGAAAGAAACCCACTATTTCAAGGTTGGCCTAGCTAGCAGAAAAAGTGATAAACTGGAATATGCGCTAGTGGTTTTGTTCTGAATATTGATCCAATAGAAAGTTCCGGTTTCTGAAGATTAGAACTGTCCTTAGTTGAAATAAAGAAGCTATTCAATGTTATTTAAGCCTGGATATTTAAACTGTCACTCAAAACTCTCAGACATGAATAGGGTTTGAGATTTTGAACTTCAAGCAAGAAAGGACTCATCTTTTCTTCCCTTGCAGCTCCAGAGGGGGTAGAACAGTCTTAGAAGAGGGCACAGGTGGGCATCCTGGCAGGCTTTGTTACCTTCAAATTTAGATCCCCAGTAAGTAGTTCTACTACAGTATTTTTTTTTTTTTTTTTTTTTTTTTTTTTTGCAGAAGTAGGGATTGAACTCAGACCTTTGCGCTTGCCAGGCAAGAGCCTATTCTACTGAGCCATCTCCCTGGTCCTTACAGTATTCTTTTTTAAAAAAGTTATTTATTGATTGATTCGGTACAGGGTCTTTCTATGCAGCTCTGACTTGTAGTGATCCTTCTGTCTCAGCCTTCTCCAATGCTGGGATAACAGGTGTGCGCCACCATGCCCTGGCCAGCGTGGCATGCAGTACTGGGGATCAAACCATGGTCCTTGTGCTTGCCAGGTAGGTACTTAGACTGCTGAGCTATTTCTCAGCCCTATAGGTTGCTTTCAATAACTAATTCAATGCAAGTTCCACTTAAAATCTTTGTTATACTATATAACAGGAACAATGGGGATAGCAGCACAAAGGTCTGTACAGGTTCAGTGCAGTCGCAGTTTTTCCCCACCTATTTTCGATTTGCATTTAGCTGAATTCTAGGGTTCAGAACTCAGGGAAGCAGTGGGCCAACTGTAAATGACATTGTTTTTGGCTTTTCTAAGTTTGGAAGCATGCATTAGAGCCGTAGTATTCCAGATCTCATTTATTTCTGATAATTACTTCAACTATAATTCTCAGTTTGGAGGTTTGATGATCTGTCTCTTATAAGGCAAAGCAAGTATTTGTGAGAAAAAGAGAGAAAAGATAAAGATATCCTATTATTATAGGCAGTTAAATTAGATAGAAATTAATACACAGGGCTGGCAATGTAGCTTAGTGGACTAAGTGCCTGCTTTGGCAAGGGCAGGAACCAGGGTTCAACCCTCTGTCCTACATGCCACTCTGGCCCTGCCCCTGGGGCGTCTTGAGCCGGAGAATGAGTCTGGGCATCGTGGTGCATGCCTGTAATCCCAGCTCTGGGGAGGCTGAAAACAGGAGGATCACTCTTAAATCCAATCTGTAGTGAGACCCTGTACCAAATACATAAAATGAAAAAAAAAAAAAAGAAATTAATACACAATTAGAAAGAGACTAGGCTGTCGGGGAAGTCAGTGAGAGAGAGAGAGAGAGACAGACAGACAGAGACAGAGAGAGATAGGGAGACAGAGAGAGACACAGAGAGACACAGAGAGAGAGACAGAGACAGAGAGAGAGAGAGAGAGAGAGAGAGAGAGAGAGAGAGAGAGAGAGATTAGAATTGTGACTGGAGGCGCACTTACTTAAGGCCAGGCCTCAAGATAAAGACGGAATGATCAGGCCTGCAAATCTCCACAAGGGATAAGCAATAACTTGAAGATGATACTATAATTGATATCACTGTGGCCAATAAGGTTTAGAGAAACACCCTGGTGAGTGATCAGAACCTCGGGTCCCATCCCTCCTAAAAATATTTTTGCTCTTTCCCTGTACCCTTGCTAAGTGACCTGCTTCCCTATTGGCTCAATATTACCTAAGCAGCTAAAATTGTAATCTTATTGGTTGGCCATAGTTGGACCCAGGTTTCACCCACAGGGTGATTTGGTGCCTCTCTCTTGATTTCACAGTATAGAATAAAATCTCAGAGAAGCGGGCTTCTTGGCAACTCATGTCGGGGCCCCCTCCTGCTCTCAGGAGCGATTCCTATTCCCGAATGAAGCTTTCCTACTCTTTACTTCCGTTGACCTTTGGAAATTACTGTTTGATTTCAGGGGACATGGACTGGGCATCTCTGACATGTAGCGGGCTGGTAATTTTATTTCCCCCTAGATCACCATTACAGAGGAAATACCTTTCCTTGAAGGTTCCCAGTTTTCTCAAGAGGCCCTCATTTGTCAAAGGGTCTTAGTAACTGAGAAACAGGACAGGGCCCTGTGCAGATTATTCACTCAGTGTTGACGTCCTGTGGGGCTCTTCTTACAGAGCTGCAGAAAATCACTTTTTAGCCCCCAGGGTCTGACGAACCCTTTCTGTCCTCTCTAGTCCCTGTCAGGGCACTGGAAATGTAACAGGCTCTTCCACGCCTTCCTTCCTCCCTCTGTCCCTTCAGCCCTCCCTCCCTTCCTTCCATCCTCTCCAAGACAAGGAAGTGACCGTCTTTGTTTCCTGGACACTCGCAGCAGCAGCAGCCGGTCCCGGCTTGCCTTGGCCTGGCCTGGGGGAGGAGACTGCGGCTTTGGCCTGTGTCGCTTGGCAGAGGCGCCTGAGGAGATGGGGAGGCTGGCGTCGGCCACCCCAGGGTGGAGAAGGGGGAAGGCGACGACGCGCGTTCCCGGGCTCGTCACCGCTGGTGTCCCGGGAGCCGGCGCCCACACGGCCTCGCTGGCAGAGATGGCAGGCGGCGGGGACCTGCGCGTCGCGGGCACCCTCCACCTGCTGCTGCTGCTGGGGGCGGCGGGCTCGAGTCGGGGTGCCGCTGCCTGGACGGAGGAGAAGGTACGGGCTGCTCCGCGTCCTGGCACCGCGGGACCCGCATGGGGCCCCACCTGGGCAGAGCGGGCGGCGGCTGGGCTCCCCGCGGCTTCGAGGACGCGGGCGGGCTGGGCAGCGAGCTCCCCGGGCTCCCTGGTCGCGGACCTGGGGGTGCTGACGGGCACGGGAAGCGCGTCTCGCGCGCGCGGCCCCGCGGGGAGGTGAGGGCGCGTCTGGGCGCCGCGGTGCCCTGGGGACCAAGCGGCCTCGGCACCGGGTGCGCCTGGGGAGTCCCCCCTGCGAGCCCCGCTGAATCCAGGGATGCGCGCCGAGCGTGAAGTTTCCCCGCTGACCCTGTACAGCCCCGTGCTAGTGGTTTTAGATTTTTCAAACAGAGCAAGTGGGAACGTAACTCCTTCACTGGAGTCCTGCTTTAGTTTGAGATCTTCGTTTTTGTCTTTCGTCCGTAAAGGAGGATACGTGTTGTTTTGAGAGAAACGCATCTTAGTAGTAGTGGCAATGTCCTATAAGGAACTTACAAGGAAAACAACGTGCAAGATCCGCTTTGGGAAATGAGTAAACAGATTTACATTTCTCTTGGGTAAGAGTTTTGAAAGCATGAAATTGCCACGGACTATGCAAGCGTTACTGATATTGGAGTAAAATGGTATGTTTTGAAAGAAACTAGTCCAAGTAGCGAAGTCCAGGGATGCTTTGGCTGTTCCTGAGCAATTCTTAATCTTTTATTTCTAGTTTTAAAATAATTTCTTTATTGTTAGCACATGTTTCCGACGCATTCATCCCGGAGAGTTGGTATATGGGCGTATTCTATTTAAATAACTCCAGAATGCCCGTGTTTATTCAAACGTTTGAAATGCCGGACGTTCTGGTGACAGCTCGCCCCTTCTGTTAGCCACAGGCATACATGCATGAATAGTCCACCCGGGTTCTGGGAATGAAGCTTAATCAGTGTCACATTCAGTCCCCACCATAGACTCCCACTTACAGGGAAACCACCCTTATGGAGAGTCTGGTGGGGCAAGGAGAGTCAGCTCCAATCATCTGACTATAAGAGAAACAACTTTCCATGGGAGTCCAGTAGGATTAGTGCCCATGAAGAACACTCTTACATGCTCTTCATCCTGTGAAAATAGCTTTCTGCTGAGACACTGGGAAAGAGATATTAAAGATTAGAATGTGGTGCCTACACCAAGGGTACCTTTAAGACACATCTAAGTGGATGGAGTGATGAGATGGACTCCAAAAGGAGGTGCTCTTAGGGGTCATTTGTGGATATGAGTAGGCAAGGGGTATTTGTGGGTGGGAAGAAAATATATGGTTGAGGTTTAGGGTGGAGGAATCTATGAGAAGAATCTATTCTTCTGTGAGAAGATGCTATGATTGCTAAAATATTTTAAACCAATGAGAATTTAACTTCTAAGACATGCCCTTTAAAGCATGAATCCCTACTATATTCAGTTTAAGAAGCTTCCAAATACTGTTCCATTGGAAACTGGATACTTTCAAATGGCATAAACAAATGAGACAAAGGGCGTAAGTGACAACTAGTCATGGCATTCCTGATTTCTGGCTGTCTCTCCCCACCCATGTTTGGCAGGCCTTTATGAAGTCTTTGGGCAACTGGTTGCACCTTCTGCCAGCATGAGAGGTGTGGTAAAGAAAGTACCAATTTTGAAATTCACTTCTTTTGTTTTGAAATAAAGGCGGGTCTCTTTCATTGGTGTCTAATACTTAAAAACAGACTAGTCCTAACTATGGCTATGTTTAGCAGATCATTTTTTGGTTTATTTGAAGCCCGGAAACAAGTTTTCCTTAGAAGCAACAGTATTTATTTTTAGATTCCCAGGTGAGCTCAGACATATAGTTAGGGGTATTAGCATTTGGGTATCAGGTGATATATATCTAACTTGGACATCAAAGTACTCTGTGAGGAGGGTATAGCTGCTCCAGTTTATAGATGAGGAAACATGACCACTATTGTACCAGAGTTGAAGAGCCAGGATTTGGCTTAAGCCCTGATCTTTCCTATTCTCTAAGACAGGTAAGTCTTAGCTGATGGACACAAAGCAGTGCCTAGGTGGTGCAGGAGTGTGGAGCCAGTGTGCAGTTTGGAGGGGTGAAGGGAGAGCTCGCCTTCCCTTTCTGGGTCAGGGTGGATGCTAAGTGGTACACCAAAACAACAACTTTGGTTTTGGTATCTTTTCCCACCACCTTATTTTCCCCTTTCCTCGATTTCCCTTATATAGCTTAAATAAAGGGAGTCATTCCATATATGCAAATTACTTCTTTTGAGACTTGCCTCCACCCCAAACTTCAACCACATTTCTTTGGTACAGGACCATTCTTTTCCTACATTATCCACTACCTGTTGAAAGGATTCTCTTTACTCAACCCTCCCTTAGGTGTGAAGGACTGCTTGGCTTTTGAAAGGGGTTCTTACATTTTTAATAAAAATATAAAGTGTGGCTTCTCTTGGAGTCGCTTAGAAAGTTAATATATGCTTATAAAAAATCATTTTTTTTTTGGTGAGGAATGAATGAGTTAATCCATGTAAAACATAGTGCCTGGCTTAAGATAAAGGCTCAATACATTTTAATTATATTAAGATACATATACAGGAATATTTATTTCATTCTGCAAATTGTACTGCAAATATAATTTTATATCTTGCCAAGGAGCTTACTAGTGTATTGTGAATATTATCTTAAGCCAATAAAACATATTGGAAGCACCATTTGATGATTAAAAAGGTATCACAATCCTGCAATTCAGCTATGTCTTTAGTCTTGAACATTTAAGTTGTTTTCAAGCATTTTCTATGATAAAACTGGGACCCAGTGTATTTAGTTGGTAGAATTTTCCTTAACTGTCACAAAGTTGAAATGAAAAGATTCAAATCATATGGGGGTGGAAGGGCAAAGTTTTTGAAGAGAGAAACTGTGTAGGAGGGCTGGCTTTACCAATGAGTCCTTTTCTCAGGACGGGCTCTGGCAGCGACTAACTGCTGTCTTCAGTGTTCCACATTCTTCGGATTCTGGACCACATGTATTCTGAAAATCTTTAGGGCTCCATATGGTCCCAAATCCTTGTCATCCTCTCTTTCACCTGTATGATTGTTCTGGAACCAAAGATGGAGACTTCAAGGCCGGGACAAGAAGCCAGTGGAGGGCCTGGTGTTGAGAGAGAAAAAGACAAAATCTCTTTTTGAAACCTTTACCATCGGTGGGTAGGAACTATGACATCCATTGGGAACATTTTTTAAAGATATAGCTGATAGATGAGAGACCTGAGATTTGACCCTAAATTGTTGCTCTGCTTTGATTTTAAGAAGGGCTGCTTGCATTTTAAAAAGGCAGGCAGTATCTTATTCAGTTCTCCAGTCTTTTCCAGCTGCATTTGTAATATCAGCGGCATCTGACACAGAAGAATTTCCATAAATGTTGGCTCAATCGAATTTGCAGGTAGACAGAGAGCTGGCTGGGACACTCACGTAGGAGGGGAACTTGAATTGGCTGCACTTCCGTAATGATCTTTCTCTAATTTGGTGGTTTGGAACTCCAACGCTCTCTCCATGCGGGGCTGACTCTACAAATTATGTTAATTTGTCATGGTGCTGTGTGATTAGCCAGCAGGAGATGCTTCATGATATCTAGATTGCACTTTTTGAGTTGGAAGATTCTTGTCACCCAGAGCAGACTTATTATCCTTTCTGCCTGGATGAAAAGACAAGGCTAGGACTGTAATACAGCCTCATTCTGCTGTGAACACCTGCACCAATCAAAATCGTTGAAGTACCTTTTAACAGAAATAAATCTAGACTAAGCTGGGGCTTGAATTTCCCTTTTGGTACAGCACTGTTTCCCCTGTAGTTTCTGCCTTCTAGTTGAGCCCAGCTTTTCTCTCTAGGTTTCTCCTCTTATTCAAAATATGTTTATTGATTCTGAACATAAGACTCACTAATAATTGAATGCATGTAATTTAAATTGGGAAAATCAAATGTTTTCCCACAGAGTGCTTTAGTAAATAACAGAGCTTAAGTAATTAATTGAATGTAGTTGGTTCGCCTTCTCTTTCCTTCGCTGATGTGGAAAGCTTATATCTCTGTGATTTTATGGGGATATCCTTGCTCTCAGGGAAGCCAAGAAGCATTGGAGGAAGTGTTTAAAGAAGCATTGTATATCAGTGACATGGTTGTAAAGAGGAAGTTGAGGAGCAAAACATTATGAGCCTGGGGGTATGTTAGAGCACATGCCTGGCACACAGCACTGCAAAACTAACAATAATAATAAATAAATAAAATTAAATCTCTGTATTCATGAGAATCATGGGACTGTTTGCTGAACTCACTTTCATGACCATTAAGCATTTTTTGGTATTTTTGCCCACCAGATTTCTCTTTCTCTCTCTCTCTCTCTCTCTCTCTCTCTCTCTCTCTCTCTCTCTCTCTCTGTGCACACGCACACGTGTGCACAGGTAGAATTCATTGTAAAGTAGATATAGAGAGAGTTATGCCTTCAGGTGAGGAATGTCACAGACATCCTCCCTGAAGGTGGGTTTGGCTGCCTTGGGTTCAGGAACTATAATGATTATCATTGGAGTTGATTATTTGTTTGTTTGTTTGTTTTGACACAGGTTTCTGCTATGTAGTTTACACTGGTCTTGAACTCACTGAAGTTGGTCTCAAACTTGTGACAATCTTCCTGTCTCAGGCTCCCAATGCTAGAATAACAGGCATGCGCCACCATCCCCTGCTGGTTATCGTTTTATTCACGTGATGTAATACATATACTTATTGGCATTTCTCTTAGGCCTTTAGGGCTTCCTTTAGAACATTCACATCTCAAAAATGTCTTCCTTTTTCCTTTCAAGTGGTCAGGATTCCCTCAGGGACCTTGATAAAAAACAAAACAAAACAAAACAAAACAAAACAAAACAAAACAAAAAAATGATGTAAATCAGGTCTCAGTCCAAGGAGACAGGTCTTTCTGATATCTTTGGGTGGAGGCCATGACGCCCAGGGAGGCCATACGCCTGAAAATAGATTGTCTAATGGTCAGATTCAGATGGATGTGTGTGGTGTGTAACCTTATGATACTGATACAGTGGAATGAAATTCCCTACCTGAAAGGTACCCAGCATGAGTTTGTGTTCTCTAATGCCCACCAGGTTTCATCAGCAATATCACTTTCAGTTGGTGGGAAATTTATATTGTTCCTGGTTTTTGTCAAATCTCTTAAGAACTTTTTTGAGCCTCCATAAGTTGCTCATTTAACATGAAGTGATTTCCTTTTACTGTGGACATGAAATGAGGGACCCATTGCACAGTGAGCAGATAGATTCTTAGACAGAGCTGTGGACATTAAATAGAAAGGCTTCTCTGGCCAATCTTTGATCCACCTTTTTTTTTTTTTTTTTTTTTTTGAGGTGGGGTCTCATTACGCAGTTCAGGTTGGCCTTGAACTCACTATGTAGCTAGGCTGGCTTGGAACTCAAATGATCCTCCCTGCCTCTGCCTCCTGACCCACAGTTTTTGGTTGTCATGGTGATTCTCCTGGGCCAGTCCTACTTCATCGGCAGAGGCACTGACTATGAGAAATTCATGAAGAACAAAGCCCACTAACAAAACACTATGGCACTTCCTCACCCCTTCCTGCGGTAGCCACCGGTCCCTTATCTTTATACTTGCTCATGCATTTAATTGGCTTGGTATTTATGAGAGCAAAGGTTCACATTCTACTTTATTATTATGTAGACAGCCTTGGCTAAGGTAGTTTTACAAAGAGAATCCATCTGTTGATTCCTTACTAGATGAATTTGCCTGATATTTATTGAATACTCAGCATGAGTCAGGCCCCGTGTGGCTCGTGGAGAGAGGCAAACAAGAGAGAGCTCTAGCTGTCATGCACCTGGCAGCTCCTTTGAAATATAGGTATTAAACAAGTAATCACGCAAGCAGTGGCCTCTATGTTGCGACCACAGGTGGAGAGGAAGAGGAGTGACTTGTGAGGCAGAAGCCACTGTGATTCGATGGGTTGGGGCTTCAGAGTGCAATGGAGCATGAACAGATGCCAGGGCGACTGAAGCACGGGGAGCAGGGGCAGTGGCACTGCCTGATGCTGTGAGCTAGGGAGAGAGAGGACAGACTCCTGTCGCGTGGTTAAGTAATCATTAACTACAGAAGTGCGTGGACCTCTGGGGCCATTCTCTTCTTTTCCACTTCCCATTTCTGTTGTTTTTGTCTTTGAGCTTCAGATTTCTCAGTCAAGTGCTGTTTGAGACCTAAGTGAGGGTCTAGACCTTAGATGTACAAGGAATTTAAAGGCTATCGTGGCAAATCAATAAGGACATGGACTTTATTTTTTATTTTTTAATGTATTTAGTAGAGGGTCTACAGGGTCTCACTATGTAGATCGGACTTGTAATGATCCTCCTGTTTTCAGCCTCCCAAGCACTGGGATTACAGGCTTGTGCCACCGTGCCCAGTCTCAGTTGTAGTCTCAGCGCACCCCAGGGTTGGGTCCAGCAAGGAAATAGACTTTAAAATATGTTATGAATAGAGAAGCAGAATCTTTAAAACATTCAGGCAAAGCATTCAGTAGTAAGTGGAAAGTGAATGAATAAGGCAGAGTGTGGAATTGGGACCCATAGACTTGGGGTCATTTTATGGACTTATGTAACCTGTCTACAGCTTTGGGAAATCACCTGGTTTCTATAAGCCTCAGTTTCCACAGATACATATCATGGAGGTTGGGCTCATTTTAAGTGGTGTTTCCAGCTTTACCATTCTATACTTCCTTAGAACCTCCCAGCATTTGATTGAAAGAATAATAGAACTAAGACATTATTTACTTTGACAGCTCACATATATCAGGTCACTTAATTCTGATTACCTAAGGATGTAGGTGTTACCACTTCCAGGTATGGATGAGCCCTAATGAGGGTGAGTAACCTGGCCAGAGTTACAGCTACAGAGTGGTAGGTGCTGAGTCAGAAGCCGAATGAAGAAGGCATGTGTGACCCAGCAGTCAGTGCTCCTACATG